ACCTGGGACGATTTTTGGGTTTAGCTTGAAACGTTAACGTTGAACACGGGTTGTGTGCGAAATTTGCGTTAAAGGTTGAGCTTATACGCTAGTACCTTCCTAGAAACGACCGTGGATGGTACAATGAAGTGCGGACGCAACGTAGTCTTGAAGACAGCAGACACTACATTTGTAGGTAGAATTTTAGCATTAAGTAGTGAGTGGCCTCTAACCTAATTACGTTTAATACAACCTCTGCATTTTAGCATCGGATTGTTGCTCTTCTTGGGATTGGCTTTTAGACATTGAGTCACGCACATGTCGTAAGACATTCTTTATTCTTGCGAGAAACTCGCTAACCCTTGTTTTAAACAGTAGCAGGGCTGACGTCTGCAATCCTATTGGCAACCTTTCCCCCAAAAAGCCCTGAACCACATAGTTGTTGCGTTAACGGAACGCGAGGATGGGTGAGACTGCTTACGCAGAACGTAGTATAGCCTATAAGTGTTTGAACAGTTTTGTTCAACGCAAAAACTCAACAGCAAAGAGCATGCAACTTCAGTGCATAGGCGTATCAGCGCAAACACTTCCCCAAATTTCATTGATGACGCGATTAACACGTTCAGTTTAACTATCGGTCTGCGGATAATCCACCGTGGACACGTCCAATCGGGTGCCGAGCTCATTGAAGATAGCCTCCAAAACCTATTAGTGAAGCGGGGATCTCTATCAGAGACATTGCCATTGCCACAGGCAAAATATGTTGTCGAAACACACGATCGATGAACAGCTTTGCCGTGCCTTCAGCATCGATCTTATCCGGCACAGCCGCTAAATGAGCCATCTTGCTCAAACGGTCAACGAAGACCACAGTACCAGTGTTGCCTTCCGAATCGTTCGGTAGGACAAACACAAAGTCCACACTGATAAACTCTCAAAACCCAAATGGTACAGGTAGACTAGCCAGCGGCACCGCCTCATGTGCCAAGGGTTTAATCCGTTGACACGTTTCACACGAACGCGCATAGGTGCTTACCCACTTGTATATTTTTGGCTAATAAAAGCCTAACTAAATGAGCTTAAAGGCTTCTCACGACCAAGATGACCACTTAAAGCGGTATCAAGCGCCTCAAAGTGGACGTGATATTTTTTCTTTATCATGAGGGACAGCGATACGAGAATTAATCTTAATATTCGTGCGATACCACAACAGTCCATAGTCGATAGTATATCGATGTAGCCTTGCACGTAAACGTGCCGACAATGAAATTCGAGTCTTTAAACTCATCGCTCCCAAGATCTATTAGCAAAAGCTACGCATTGTTCATCCTCGTCATAAGCCGCACGGATTAAGTCAGTGACTGACAATGACAGCGTAGTGACGTGAGCAAGCTCATAGTCAGGTCAGCATGATTGCGCATCAGCTAAATCATTTTTATTCTCTGGCCTATATATTTTAATTCTAGTATATTTTTGGCAAAGATTGAAAGTCAACGAGCCATTCTCTGATAGATGCAGCGACCACGTCGCAGTGCGCAATGACGCATGATCGGTATAGATCACAAACGGCTTTGATCCAAGCAGCTGTACTATGAGTTTGACTGAGGTCACCTCATAGCAAGTGGCCCTTTTGGTGATGAATAGTTCTTTTTAGCAGCTTTGAGCAATCTATCTTTAAATACAATGAGGGTTTCGCGTCCATCGACATCTATTTATAACAAGCACTGCCCATAGCAAGGTCAGATGCGTCACAGACAACACTAAAAAGGGCACTCAGGATCGGGCAATCCATTATCGGCGCTTAAAGGAGACTTTTCTTAACTGCTTAAAGCATTGTGTGCGGTGTTACATTAGCACCTATCCATATCCTCCTCAAGGAGATTGTGTAATGGCTACGTCATATATGCGTAATTCACGCTATTCTTATAAATGTAAATTTCAAGGCCAAGCCAACTTATGCAATTCCTTTTAATTGATAGGAACTGACCAACCGACTAAGACCCTCACCTTAGCGGCGTCCGCTTTAAGGCGTCGCTTCCCATTAAATCATCTCAGAAAGGGAATATCTTTTGCACCAAAGATGCGCTTGAATAACTTTTATACTACTCATTAGTGTGCATAAGCTCGAGCACCGGTCGTAAGTGATCAATGCGATTATCCACATCAGATCGACCGTTTGTTTCACGATCATGGACAAATATGTCATCAAACTACGTATGTAAATAGCACAGCCTCGAAGAGGTTTAAATAGTTTCGTCACCAGACGATATAAATAAGTCGTGGTATTTTACAGCCCTTGTGGCATAACGGTCCACTCTCAGAGCATACTCGTTCGGTGTACCAATTGCTGTTATCAGAATTTCACTAGCTCGCATGAGCATCTGGTAATAACTAGCGCACCACTAAGTTGAACGCACTTTTCAATGTACATCCCACCATATTGTTCTTAGGAGCATCCTTTCTGTGAATTGGTATTTAAGCCGTGATAGTGGCAGCATTAAGCTTGTTTTGAGCAAGAACAATGCACCACTTACTATTTGGCTTCCTGAGAAAAAAGTCGTTGTAAAAGGCCAAAATTTACTCTCACGCACCATTCCAGCCGCGTGATTTGTGCGAAAGGAATCATAAGTGATGTCACACTGTTCCGTTGGTGCAGAACAATGCCATGTTAAAAGCACTTAGTTCCAGGAACCAGGTCAATTTCATGATGTACACCTCTATCAGGAAGTAAGACAGATGTTGAGTCGTGACATACCACATCTTGAATTTTCTTAAATAAAAATAGAATAAATTTATAAGCCTTTTAAGAATCAGAGATTCACTCCGGGCACTAGTGTCATCTTGGTTTCCTATATAACCAACTCATTTATTAACGAGGACGAGTTCAACGTAAAATTAATATCTAATCACCACTTATTCGGATAAATCTACTGCCTTCAAGGCCTGGATAAATTCTTCATCAGACATGTGTTTTAGCACACTAAAGGTACCTGAAGATGGAAGGGTTTCCAGGCCAACATTGCCATTAACCTGTCCACTCAATCTATTGATAAATTTATATAGTGATTCACTAACGCACTACGTAACTACTCAGACTCATGGCGAAGTACAATTGCCATCTGGCGTCCAGGTCGTCTCTATTATGAGACCTTTCACCCCTTTTAGACCGGGAAAATTATTTTCCCCATGATAATCACTAGTACTAGTTTGCTCAGTACGAGATCTGATGTCTTGATCGATGTACGTTGAAGTGGTAAGTAACTTAGACGATTCACCCAGTGAATTTATACGTGCCACTCCACTCAAAATATACGGGCGTAGCCCTGAACTTATAAAGTGTCGCCAACAATGTCATTACCGACATCAAACGCGGTGCTTTCACGTCCAACCGCACTAAACGCATTTTCACGATCCACCGCACACAAACACATCAAAAGAATCGCATTTGTGTTACTCGGACCTAGAACCAACTATGTTTTCAGCATGCAGTGACACGTTATTAAAAAGAACAACACTCAAAGTAGAACGTGCCGTAATAGTGATACTCAACGAGCTAAGCTCGAAATTCATGTTTTCAAAGTTGAAGTTAGTTTAGTCAGACATATTAAAGACCAACACATTGATATCTTCGTTCCGAAGCTCGCACCAGTACTAATTTTGTTGCTTAGAATAGGTGGGTTAATAACTCTCTGAATCTTCTATAGAAGTTGCGCGTAGCGCTTAAGGTCTGCAATCTCCAAATAGTCCATGGCTCACAATGTATAAGCCAATTCACACTTTAGATGAGATCAAATCTCGAAGTCAAATCAGGGACAAGGCAGCGTCCAACGCTATCAAAATTCAAACTTTAAACCTAAGTTCAACGTATTTTTGGTACAGCAACACGACTCGAAGTCGCTAAACGAACCGTAATGATATTGCCTTTATGTGCTGTTAGCGCTTTAGTATAACACTGGCTTCCTTTAAGGGAACGAATTCGAGCGTAATTGCAAGACGCCCCAGAATCAATAAAAATTGACTTAATGTTCTTGAAGCCGTTATCTTTCGCCTCAGCGACCAACAAGCCAGACTTGGTATAAAATTTAACCAGCAGTTATGGATCTCGTTAGGGCTAAGCCCTGTTCAACTTTACCTCATAAGATGTTACAGAACCTAAGTCTACCCCAGTAGGGCGCTTCGCGTCTACTGGGTGTTGACGTTTCCCTAGGCCATGCCAGACTTTTGTCTCGGGGTAGAGTGCTGAATCATATACTGTCGCTGTTTACGCAAAGGAAATTCAGGCTGCAAGTGTTTAGTGCTTCCGCACGTATAATTTTCTTGTTCAAGACGATGCAGTCCGTCATCTTAACGTGTAACTTTATCTTTATCCTCAGCATAGCTGAAATCCATCGGATCCGGGATATCAACGGCCAAAGTACTCGTGGTGTTTGATCTTGTAAAGCTAGTTTGTACCCTTTCCATCCAAGTCTGGTTGACTTGAATTTATGCTCAGCATTAAGACCAATTTTCACAGCCTCTTCGAATATCGAGAAGCGAACCAGAAAGACCTCGGTTCTGGTGAAATAATGTTTTTATTACTTGAGTGTAGTATGGAATAGTAAAGTGAAGTGAGATACCAACTAGCCTATCGGGGATAGGACGAGATGACAAGGTTGAAACAACCTTAAAAAATTAGGGTCGTAGAAAAAGTAATCGCGCACCTGGTGCAGGGGGAATGTCCGTAGGATCCACGATGTCGATTGCGGGTTCGAATCCCGCCTACACCCAGAAAAGTGACTTGGATAAAGGATACAGAGGGAAATCTACACCATGGTGGCGGTTGTAGGAGGGGAGCCAAGGCGACCTCCGCAGTCACTACCATGGGTGGAAAATACCATGTAGACAGTCCATCACGGAAGGGGTTGAAGTAGCGGGAAGAAGTAACCGTGAAGTAGCGGGAAGAAGTAACCGTGAAGTGACCGAAAAATCGGTGGCTGGCGGGAGCTCATAAACAAATCTGCCAAGTCGAGAACAAGTCACGAATGAGCGCCAAGCAACCGGAAAGCGGGAACACTGGAGATGCCAGGGAGGGGGATGTCGAGATGGGGGAGGTTGTTGGAGGGGAGCGTATGCGACCTCCGCAGTCCCCGCCAATTCCGTCCATCCAACCGGGCGACTCCAGTGAACCCAGCGGTCCGGAAGCCGCGACGCTTGTGGATCGTGGAGGTGAAACCGACGGGCGCGCAAGCGAGCCTGTGGAAGCCGAGGTCGAGGAGACCAAAGAGGATGACCGGATGAGCGACGCGAGCTCGACCGGCCCAGGAAGACCTCGGTTCTGGTTACGTCAGTACGGAGACTGTATCAGGGTCATTCTAGCCATTGGCTTAATCAGTTGAAGACCTCCCATGTGCAATATGGGAGACAAGTGTGGCCTCGGATTTTTCATTATTATAGAATACTGATTAGTCGGTATTCTCTGAGTTACGGTAATCCGTGAAGTACTACATCATTTGGTGACTGAGTGATGTGTAAACCATCTACTTAGTTTGAATGCTAATATTTGTATTGGTTCACGTTTAGTAGAATATAGGGTAGTTGGTATTAAAAGGTAAAGTGCTCAGTTATTGGCAAAATGCAAAATGAATATATATAGGTCCTTAGTTCACAAACTTGTTGCTACTAAAAGCCTACTGGATTCTTCGACTACACGTTCGTAATCGCTATATCGCGCATTACTGATCGTATTTTCTCGCATGAGTATTTTACTTTTTACAAATTACTCATCAGATAGTCCCACATGAGTAATCCACACTACTGGTATTACTCATGTGAGCGTATGATCAATTTACTATATACACATTACTCATCATATAGGCGCACTAGTAATCTCCAGACTGTACCTTTTGTTCGTCGCTCGCTGGACGAAGCGCATCTTCAACAACATTCAGAGCAGGATTTTCCTTGATATAAAATCTGAATAAACTCAGTTCTCATTTTGAGCAGAAGTCCGTGGACTATCCCCTTTCGCACCTTGCGTTTGACAATTTTTTTAGAACTGTCGTGGGCTAACGAGTCATTAGACTCCGGTATTCCCCTTTCGCACATTGTGCGTGTAGTTTTCGTAAAACTACAGTAGTCTTGGCTTAAAACTCATTGAGCCCGCGCTAAGTTCCGTAAACTAGCCGACTCTTTCCTTAAAAGTGTGTACTTCCTTAGAACTAATTGGCTATTAGCTGTAAGCATCTGGCTTAATCTGTAAAGTCTCCCTCTGACTTTAGAGCTGTGGTAGCTCCGCTAAACAGACCCTTTAATTAATACAGTCACATGGACTGCCTCAGACAGAGGGTCAGACCGCATAGCAGCCATGATAGTTCTCAGCTCTTGGACATTGTAACGGGGTGAATCGTTACATAACAATTTACAAGAAATTGTTAATAGAATATAACTATAAGAGTTATATTCTCAGAATATTGTCATAAGGACAAATATTCTGTAGCACTTACGAGTAGTTCCTGATTGGTTGATATAGGCCATTATATCAACCAACGAAGACGCGCCACGACAGACGCACGCAATGGTTGGCGAGCAGATAACTGATTTACACATTTGTATTTAGGCGTAGTTAGATGAAGATAAATAGTGATTTATTGCAGACATTAACTATACAAAATACAGTTCTACTTTTTACTTAAACCAAGTACTCGCTTCTTCTTACCGTCTTCCTCTGCACGTACGAGTGTACGTGAAGTTACGAGGCACCGCCTTATTCTGTCATCAGAATAAGTAGCTTGTACTGTCACCAGTACAAGCTTCAGGGTGCCCCGTTACACCTGGTAGCACTTCGTAGTCCGTCCGAGGACCACGTTCACATCCAACATGAATATGTTGGATGATGAAGATGACCAAAGCTTTCACGCTACGCGTGACGGCTACTCCCATTTGAGCGATGTCGAATGGGATGCGGTTGAACGAATGGGTTCGACCATGGGCATCCATGCTGTTAGCGTCATGCTAGAGGCTCTCAATAGAGATGCCCAACATGCTACTATCGCCAAGTTCATTCAAAATGAACTTGACGCTGAACGCAAGAAAGTAGCCTTGCTTCACCAACAAGGTTCTCAACAAGCAGAGTTGTTGAGAGATCAGGGTGCTCAACAGTTTGAACTGTTGAGACAGCAGCAGGCTGCTGCTGGTGGGTCGATGCACTCGCGTCGACCCGAAACCTTGAAGATTGACATCTCCAAGTATAGGGGAGTCGAAGAAGACTCCCTCTTGAGATGGTTCGTCGAATTGGATGACGCCATAAGGGCGCGTCGCATCGACGACGGGGATATGCAAGTTGCATTTGCCCAGTCAAATCTGGCAGGACGTGCCAAGACTTGGGCACTGGGGCTCAAGTTGCACGACCCATATGCGTTTGGGTCGTTGGAAGTCTTCAAGTCGCGGCTCAGACAAACGTTTGAACCGCCTAGAGCTGAGTTCAGAGCTCGAACCGAACTCTTGAAGCTCAAGCAGGGTAAGCGTGATGTACACGCTTACGCTCAACATATACGACATCTCACGAGTTGTATAAGTTCCAATCCGGTGGATGAACACACGTTGGTTTCGGTGTTCATGCAGGGTCTTGCGGATGGTCCCGTCAAGACTCCCCTGTTCCGGCTTGAACTAAATTCACTAGAACAAGCCATTTCCATTGCGGAACAGGAAGACTTCAGTCTGAGACAGGCTCGCGCCAGCTCGACATCATATCGTCAACCGAGACGATATGACAACGGAGGTCCAGAGCCGATGGAACTCTGTTATGTAGAGAGCAAGAAGGCTCGCTCTACAGGCTACAAGAAGCTGCAGAGATGCAACAGATGTCAAAAGACAGGACACTACGCTTACGAGTGTAGTGCCCCTCGTCCAGTGTCTCGCGACACTGGGCGTAGTGACCGTCCACCCATGAGAAAGGGGCAGGGACGAGGGTCCGCTGTTGGTGCAAAGACGCAACAACGGGATGGACCGTCAAAAAACGGACAGGATCAGTAGGTGCGGAGCACCCTACTGGTACAGCAACATCAAGAGAATTTGTAGGCCTCTTGATGAAGGTTGCTCCCAACACACAAACATTGTGCGTTGCTGCTCTAGGTAATGAGATCTCACTCATTACCTTGAAACTCGAAGTGACAAATAAGTTGTCCCTTCGAGCTCTAGTCGATTGTGGGGCGTCCAACAATTTTTTGCGACGCCAATCGCTAGAAGATGGTCACTTTAAGTTCAGTGAATGTGACACACCTCCTACGAGGATGACGGTACGCCTTGCGACAGGCGCATCCGTAACCGTCATGAAGCGTATAGTGAAGATTCACTATACGCTAGAAGATACCCAATATGACGATGACTTTATCGTATTGAATTTGGATGACAAATTTGATGTCATCCTTGGAATACCGTGGCTCAGAAGGTACGAACCACGGGTAAACTGGCAACATCGAACAGTAACGATGCCTGTCGCTTGTTCATCAGATGACCATCTGATGAACGTTTTGGAGCGTCCACAAGCGTGTGGATGTACTACGAGTGAGTGCGATGGCCTCACTTGTGGTACGGTCGTTAGTACGACTGCACAAAACCTTAGTGTAACAAACGGTTACACTTCGGAGCAAAGTTCCGGCGGCTGTGAGGAAACACAGGCTGCGCCGAAGGTCCACCACTCGAATAAATCGAGTGGATCGGGACAAAGATGTATCCCTAGCGGAAAACATCTAGAAGAGAAACAATCGATCGCTCAGGTTAAGCGAAACGATAATCCTAGATCGACTGGAGAGTCTTTCGTAGAGGATTTCGCTGTGTTTGCGCAACCCCAGCTAGAAGAAGTTAAGGAATAAGTCCCAAGATTACAAATACGGCGGAAATACGTTCCCCGAAACCCGCGGGAATAAGTCCCAGGGAAGCCGAAGGAATAAGTCCTTCGAAGCCTGAGGGAATAAGTCCCCAGGAAATGACAGAGACATTGAATGTCCTAGTCAATAACGGATCAAGTGTAGGCGCTTATACACTTGATCTGATTGCGCCTCCGATATTGACTTCGGAGATTACTCAGTTGCCAACGCTTAAACATAAAAGGTTCTTGCGTGATCTGCGTAGTGGCAAAGTCAAGCAGATCTGCGTACTTGTCGCTGACGACGAGTGCGTAGCCTACATAAGGTCAGAAACAGTGTTCACTGAGAACGAAAGAGTTCTCAGTAGTTCATCGATGGACGAGAGTGTCTTAGATGAAAAGACACGAATTGAGCGATATGACTCCCAATCATGGGAATCGCTAAAGACAAATCCTCTCTATAAAGATTTGGTTGAATTCAAGAATGTATTCCCTGAAACTGTTCCGTGCGAATTACCGAAGGATAAAGGTATTCGACACGAGGTCGAGCTTAAACCAGGCTCGAAGTACTGTGTCATGAAGCAGTGGCCACTGCCTCGTGAACAAGTACTTGCGATCGACAAGTTCTTTGCCGATCGTTTTGCTGCGGGCCATGTGAGGGAATCAACTTCCCCACATAGCTCTCCGACCTTCTGTGTGCGAAAAGCAACAGGAGGGTGGCGGATAGTGCACGCGTTCAACAAATTGAACGCTGCAACGGTACCGGCTCAGACGCCGATACCGAGGAAGGACGTAATCATTGATGGTATGTCAAAGAGTACCATCTTTTCGTCCATGGATTTGATGGATGGATTCTATCAAATCCTTATGCGAGAACGGGATATACCCTATACCGCAGTTAGCACGCCTAGCGGCATGCTCTGGGAATGGCTAGTAATGCCACAAGGGCTTAGTAATGCCCCTGCCACGTTCAACAGATGTGTATCACATCTGTTGAGACCAGTACGAGAATTCGCGCCGAGTTATTTCGATGACGTATTCATCCATAGTCGAGCTATGGATGGAGAGTCGGACGTTGAGGTTCACAGGTACCACGTCCGACAGGTTCTTACAATCATGCGAAAGCATCAATTGTATGCAAACCTCAAGAAGTGTATATTTGCCGCAAGCGAAATACCACTTCTTGGGTGCATTTTTGGTGAGAAGGGGGGGCGTCCTTATCCGAAAAGATCAAGGTGACCACCGACTGGCCTGTGCCACTTAATGTCAAAGGTCTTCGAAAATTCCTGGGGGCGAGCGGCGTATTTGCATAAGTATTCACGCAATTACGCCGAGATGACTGTGCACCTCTCTCGTTTGTTGAAAAAGAACGAGAGGTGGTTATGGAACGCTGAATGTCAGCGCTCCTTTGATGGTATCAAGCAGAGCTTGATACAATCCCCAGTCCTAGCAATAGCCGATCAGGACAGGCCATTTCATGTGGTCTGTGGTGCCAGCGTTTTCGCAATCGGCTGTGCATTAATGCAGTACGAT